TGCCAGGAAGAGGCAGATCAGAGTGTGACCTGCTTTTCCTTTGCCCTCCAGAGAGAGTCGACGTCTAGGAAGCAGTGGCCGCCTACGTCCGGGAGCAGCTCCTGGTGCCGAAGGTGTGTTGGCCGACAGGTTCATCGTCTCCCTATGCGGCTCAGCCTGGACTTCCTCGGAGTCTTCCTCTTCGCAGAAAGCAGGAGACTCCCCCAAAGTTTCTCTCGTGTGTATACCAAGGTTTTTTTTTTGTAGGTGGTGGTGGTGGGCTGTGGGCCGTCCATTTTTTTTTGGTGGTGGCGGTGGTTATTTGGCCTTTTTTTTTTTGGTGGAGGTGGTGGTGTGTTTAGGGCTGGATTGTTTTTGGTGGTGGTGGTGGTGGGCTGAGGGCCGGATATTTTTTTTTGGTGGAGGTGGTGGTGGTGGACTCAGGGCCGTTATTTTTTTGTTTGGTGGTGGCGGTGGTGGGATGAGGTCCGGACATTTTTTTTTGGTGGTGGTGGTGCTGCTTCGGCCTTTTTTTGGGGGGGGAGGTGGCGGTGGGCTCAGGGCCGTCCATTATTTTTTTGGTGGAGGTGGTGGTCATTCGGCCTTTTTTTTTGGTGGTGGTGGTGGGCTGTAGCTGACCTTTTTTGTTTGGTGGTTGTGGTGCTGGGCTGTGGCCTGGGCTTCTTTTTGGTGGTGGTGGTGGGGGGCTGAGGGCCGGTGATCGTTTTTGGTGGTGGTGATTCGGCCTTTTATTTTTGGTGTTGGTTTTGGTGGTGATTCGGCCATTTTTTTATTTAGTGGTGGTGTTGGGCTGAGGGCCGTTTTTTTTTTTTTTTGCTGGTGGTGGTGGTGGTCATTCGCCCTTTTTTTTTTTTGGTGGTGTTGGTGGTGATTCAGCCATTCTATTTTGTAGTGGTGGTGGTGGCCTGAGGGCCGGCCATTTTTTTTTGGTGGTGGTGGTGGTGATTCGGCCTTTTTTTTCTTGGTGGTGGTGGGCTGTAGCTGGGCTTTTTTGTTTGGCGGTGGTGATGGTGGGCTGTGGCCTGGGCTTCTTTTTGGTTGTGGCGGTGGAGGGCTGAGGGCCGGACATTTTTTTTTTGTGGTGGTGATTTGGCCTTTTTTTTTTTTTGGTGGTGGTGGTGGTGATTCGGCCATTTTTTATTTAGTGGTGGTGGTGGGCTGAGGGCCGGACATTGGTTTTGGTGGTGGAGGTGGTGGGCTGAGGATCGTTTTTTTTTTGGTGGTGGTGGTGGTGGGCTGAGGGCCGGTCATTGTTTTTGGTGGTGGTGGTGGTGGGCTGACCGCCGGACATTGTTTTTGGTGGTGGTGGTGGTGGGCTGAGGGCCGGACATTTTTCTTGGTGGTGGTGGTGGTGGGCTCAGGGCCGGACCTTTTTTTGGTAGTGGAGTGGTGGTGGGCTGAGGTCCAGACATTGTTTGTGGTGGTGGTGGTGTTGGGCTGAGGATCGTTTTTTTTTTTTTGGTGGTGGTGGGCTGTTGGCCAGCCATTTTTTTTTGGTGGTGGTGGTGTTTGGCTGAGGGGCGGACATTGTTTTTTATGGTGGTGGTGGTGGGCTCAGGGCCGGTTTTTTTTTTTGGTGGTGGTGATGGTGATTCGGACTTTTCTTTTTTTTGTGGTGGTGGTGGTGGTCGGCTGAGGGCCGGACATTTTTTTGGTGGTGGAGTGGTGGTGGGCTGAGGTCCGGACATTGTTTTTGGTGGTGGTGGTGGTGGGCTCAGGGTCGTTTTCTTTTTTGGTGGAGGTGGTGGTGGGCTCAGGGCCGGTCATTTATTTTTTTGGTGCTGGTGGTGTTGGGCTGAGGGCCGGTTTTTTTTTTGGTGGTGGAGGTGCTGATTCGGCCTTTTTTTTTTTTTGCGGTGGTGGTGGGCTGTTGGCCGGCCATTTTTTTTTGGTGGTGGTGGTGGTGATTCGGCCTTTTTTTTCTTGGTGGTGGTGGGCTGTAGCTGGGCTTTTTTGTTTGGTGGTGGTGATGGTGGGCTGTGGCCTGGGCTTCTCTTTGGTTGTGGCGGTGGTGGGCTGAGGGCCGGACCTTTTTTTTTTGTTAGTGGTGGTGGTGGGCTGAGGGCTGTTTTTTTTTTGGTGGAGGTGGTGGTGGTGATTCGCCCATTTTTTATTTAGTCGTGGTGGTGGACTGAAGGTCGTTTTTTTTTTTGGTGGAGGTGGTGGTGGGCGCAGGGCCGTTTCTTTTTTGGTGGAGGTGGTGGTTTTGATTCGGCCTTTTATTTTTTTTTGGTGGTGGTGGTGGTTGAGGGCATTTTTTTTTTTGGTGGTGGCGGTGGAGGGCTCAGGGCCGGTCATTTTTTTTTTTTTTGGTGGTGGTGGTGGTTTATTTATATATTATGTAAATACTATAGTATAAAATATTTATTTAAATTTCATCAAGGCATATGAAAATAACCATGCCTTCAGAATTAACTTAGATGCTATGGAATTAAGGCTTATACCTTCAGAATTAACATAGAACCTATATAATTTAGACATATACCTTCAGAATTAACTTTGATGCTATGGAATTAAGACATATGCCTTCAGAGTTAACTTATACCCTACATAATTTAGGAATATGCCTTCAGAATTAGCTTAGATTCTACATAATTAAGGCATATGCATTCAGAATTAACTTAGATGCTATGGAATTAAGGTATATGCCTTCAAAATGAACTCAGATCCTATTCAATTAAAGGCATATGCCTTCAGAATTAACTTAGATGCTATGGAATTAAGGCATATGCCTTCACAATTAAATTAGATGCTATGGACTTAAGGCATATGCCTTCAGAATTACCTTAGATTCTACATAAGTAAGGCATGTACCTTCAGAATTAACTGAGACCCTACATAATTAAGGCATATGCCTTCACAATTAACTTAGATGCTATGAAAATAAGGCATATACATCAGAATTAACATAGAATCGATATGGAATTAAGGCAGATACCTTCATTATTAATTTAGGTGCTGTGGAATTAAGGCATATGCCATCAGAATAAACTTAGGCCCTACTTAATTAAGACATATGCCTTCAGAATTAACTTACATCCTATGGAATTAAGGCATATGCCTTCAGAATTAACTTAGGCCCTACATAATTAAGGCATATGCCTTCAGAATTAACTCAGACCCTACATAATTAAGGCCTATACCTTCAGAATAAAGTTTAACTCCCAAGGAATTATGGCATAAGCCTTCAGAATTAACTTAGATGCCATGGAATAAAAGGCATATGCCTTCAGAATTAACTCAGATCGTATGGAATTAAAGGCATAAGCCTTCAAAATTAAAGAAGATCCTATGGAATTTAAGGCATATACGTTCAGAATTAACTCAGATCCTATGGAATTAAGGCATATGCCTTCAGAATTAAATTAGACACTACATGGAATTTAAGGCATATGCCTTCAGAATTAACTTAGATGCCATGGAATTAAAAGGCATATGCCTTCAGAATTAACATAGAACCTATATAATTAAGACATATGACCTTCAGAATTAACTTTGATGCTATGGAATTAAGACATATGCCTTCAGAGTTAACTTATACCCTAAATAGTTTAAGGAATATGCCTTCAGAATTAACTTAGACCCTACATAATTAAGGCCTATACCTTCAGAATTAACTTACATTCTACATAATTAAGGCATATGCATTCAGAATTAACTTAGATCCCACGGAATTAGGGTATATGCCTTCAGAATTAACTGAGATCCCATTGAATTAAAGGCATATGCTTCACAATTAATTTATATGCTAAGGAATTAAGGCATATGCCTTCAGAATTAACTTAGACCCTACGTAATTAAGGAATATGCCTTCAGCAATTAACTTAGATGCTATGCAAATAAGGCATATGCCTTCAGAATAAATTAGATGCTATGGAATTTAGGCATACGCCTTCAGAATTAAAATGGATTCCACATAATTAAGGCATATACGTTCAGAATCAACTCAGATCCAATGGAATTAAGGCATACGCCTTCACAATTAACTCAGATCCTATAGAATTAAAGGCATATGCCTTCAAAATTAAATTAGATTTTATGGAATTAAGGTATATGCCATCAGAATTAACTTAGACCCTACATAATTAAGGTATATGCCTTCAGAATTAACTTAGATGCTATGGAATTAAGGCATATACCTTCACAATTAACTTAGATACTATATAATTAAGGCAGATACCTTGAGAATTAACTTAGATGCAATGGAATTAAGGCATATGCCTTCAGAATTGACTCAGACCCTACATAATTAAGGCATATGCTTTCACAATTAACTTAGATGCTATGGAATTAAGACATAAGCCTTCAGAATTAACTGAGATCCTATGGAATTAATGCAAATGCCTTCAGACTTTACTTAAAACGTACAAAATTAAGGCATATGCCTTCAGAATTAACTTAGATCCCATGGAATTAAGGAATATGCCATCAGAATTAACTTAGACCCTACATAATTAAGGCCTATACCTTCAGAATAAAGTTTAATCCCATGGAATTAAGGCATATACCTTCACAATTAACTTAGATACTATATAATACAGGCATATGCAGTCAGAATTAACTCAGATCCTATGGAATTCAGGCATATGCCTTCACAATCAACTTATATGTAATGAAAATACGGCATATGCCTTCAGAATTAACTTAGATTCTACATAATTAAGGCATATGCTTTCACAATTATCTTAGATCCTAGGCAATTAGTGGCATATGACCTCAGAATTAACTTAGACCCTACATAATTAAGGCATATGCCTTCAGAGTTAACTTAGATGCTATGGAATTAAGGCATATTCCCTCAGAATTAACTTAGATCCTTTGTAATTAAAGCCATATACCTTCTAATTCAATTAAAGCCTATGGATTTAAGGCATATGCCTTCAGAATTAACTTAGGTGCTATGCAATTAGTGGCATCTTTCAATCCACGCTTAAAGCAAAAACCCACGTGTGCCGACCAACTGAACGGAACTGAGAAACTGAACCGAAGCAATGGCAGCTTTAAACAAAAACGCTCAGGCTGCTGTCTGCAGACAGCCTAGAAGCAGGAATCTGATGGGCAAGAAGGAATTGCCATCACCCAACCCCTGGAGCTCTCATTCTCCTCTGCCTTGTTCTCCTTTGTTCCATGGCTCTATCTGTGTCGCTGCTTTGGCTCAGTCTGCTCTCTGAGCACGGAACAATCATCTGTGCTGAAGTCTGAACCCTGAGCTCTGCCTAAATGGGAATCCTAAGAAAAACCTTCACTCGAGATTGAAGAGAAAAGCAACATCAGGAACAGAAGTATTTCACCTTTCCTTAACGCTTACCATCGATGCTGTTCTCCAGGCGTTTAAAACCTTCAGCTCCTGCAGCCTGGTTCTCCATTGCTGCACATACTGATGGACAGCGTTTATCTAAACGTGGGAGGACACAAACATGCTTTTGTTAAGCATGGCTTTTGGTTCGTTCTTATTTGGGTCTTTCCCCTTTCCCCTTCTTTCTTTCCCCTTCTTTCTTTCCCCTGCTTTCCCCTTCTTTCTTTCCCTTTCTTTCTTTCCCTTTCTTTCCCCTTCTTTCCTTCCCCTTCCTTCCCCTTCTTTCTTTCCCCTTCTTTCTTTCTCCTTCTTTCTTTCCCTTTCTTTCTTTCCCCTTCTTTCTTTCCCCTTTCTTCTTTCCCCTTCTTTCCTTCCCCTTCTTTCCCCTTTTTCTTTAAAAGAGGGAACAAGAGTGATCTGAGCAACTGCAAGGAAATTTCAGACTGGACAATTCAGGTCTTGCCCCACTTTACGAGCAGAAACTTCTGCTTTGGATAATACGTTTTGTACCTGCATCATTGGTGAGGCCTGCGCCTCAGTTATCAGGAAGAGGCAAGGAGCATCATAGACCTATTTGAGTCAGGAGGAACCTTTAAAGCCATCCGACCCAACTCCCCTGCAGTGAACAGGGACACCTATGGCCACACCAGGTTGCTCAGTGATGGCAAAGCCTTCAGGCCAGCAGCTCCTGCTGTTTTCTACTCGCTGCACAGAACAGTGAAGGTATGAGGGCGTTCTTACGTTCCCCTCGAGTTGGGCATTCGCTGAGTCAAGAGCGGCCACCTGAAGCACAGGAACCACTGCTACCCTGAACGCGTCACAGAAAGCTCAGTTGTTCCAAATACTTACGTAGAGTCCTGTGCCCTTCTTGGCTCTGCAGATGTAATACCCCAGGTGCAGCTCCTCAGGGGAGATCTCTGGAAAGTCTGCAGGGAGGCAAACAATCAGCATGCTCCAAAGGGAATGCAACACAAACACAAAATTGCCCTCTAGAGTTACACAAGAAACTGCCCTTGCTGCACCGCCTGCCACCAGTCAGCTCGACTTGGAGACACAGAAAGGACTCCTGGTGCAACTTCAGGGGTGCAAACACACCAAGGAAATACCGTAATCCAGTGCCCCTACCTGTTGCATCGCAAGGCACGTCCTCACCTTGCAGTGCTTCCATTGAGGCACAGCAGTGTGGACAAGGATGGAAATGCAGCCTGAACAGTAGCAGCACTCCTAAAAACGGGACTGACCTGAAACATTAGGCTTGCCCTTCTCAGGACAGTAGCATGAAAACATCCACTGTCCAGAAGATTCCCAGGTCGCCATGTCTTCTGCTACCCAGTCCCTAGAAAACACAACATGACAGCAAAGGAAGAAATCACACAGTCAGAAGCCACAGGGCAAAAAGCAAAGTCAAACTCAAATAGCCAAAGCCGCGCCAATGAATTCCATAGGACGCTGCTCAGAGGGAACAGCTGAGGAATGCTACAGCTATCTTGAAAGACACAGCAGTCGCTCTGCTGGACACACAGATGTCCGACAAAGCGTTTTATCGTGAGTAAATCACATCAGGTCTGGAAGAGAAACAAAACCCCCGTGCTTCCTATGGTCCCCCCCCCACGTCCCACCTTCCATCCCCCGGAACGCATCCTCTCCATTATCCAGAGGAAGCCAGTAAGCACTTCAGCAGCTCGTTGCGAGCGCTTCCCAGGGGACAGGGCCGTCACTTACACAAGTCTCTGCTGTTCATCTCTGTAGTCACCAGCCGGGTTTGCACCGCTTAATGCAGAGCTCGCTTTCTGCAAGGACGCTGCGCCTTTCTTGCCTGCAGCTCCAACACCGGAGGCACCAGAGAGTCCTGCTGCATCGCGGCTGCCACCCGAGGAGCTCTTTGGGAGCGCAGGAGGCTGCACAACGGCTGCAGGAGCGCCCCGTCCTCCTGCAGATCCTCCTTTGTGCTGCAGCTTGGCTGGCTGGAGAAGGTTTGTGTTTCTCCGGGCACGAACAACACGTCCTCCATCGCCTCCGGTGTGCTGGATCACGGCTGCCTGGTTAAGATCTGTGTCTGTCAGGGTAGCATCACCCAATCCTTTCTCAGCTCCTTCCGTGTGCTGGATCACGGGTACCTGGCTGAGGTCTGTCTTTGTTGCAGTAGTGCCCCCCCATCCGGCTCCACTTCCTGTCGTGTTCTGGAGCACAGACGGCTGGCTGAGGCTTGTATTTGGTGGAGTAGAATGTCCTGATCCTCCTACTGCTCCAGCCTCGTGCAGCATCATGGGTGGCTGGCTAGGATCTGTGTCTGTCTGGTCACGAGATTTAGATCCTCCTACAGCTTCTTCCTTATACAGGGACACAGCTGGGGGGATAGGATTTGCCTTCCTTGGGGTGCCAGCACCACATTCTTCTACAGCTCTTCCCCTCTTCCCGTATGCAGCATCACGGGTGGCTGGCTAAGCTTTGTATCTGTCGGTGCAGCATGTCCCGATCCTCCTACAGCTCTTCTCTTGTTCTTTAACATGGCTGGCTGGATAATGTCTGTATTTCTCGGGGTAGCAGCACCCTGACCTCCCACAGCTCCTTCTGTCAGCTGCACTATGGATAGCTGGCTGAGCATGCTGGTTATCTGATCAATGTCTGCCGATCCTCCTACGGCTCCTCCCTTATCCTGCATCATGGAGGGCTGGCTAAGATCTGCATTTCTCTGAGTGTTTCTGGGGGTAGCAGCACCCCGACCTCCCACAGCTCCTCCCTTGTCCTGGATCATGGGTTGTGAGAATCCTCCTTTAGTTTTTTTTTGGCTCAAAGCTTGCTTCCTAAGGTTTTTCTTGTGATAAGACTCTGAGTGACTTGTCAAGGAGGCAACTGATGGGTGCTGACTGTGTGACAATCGATATCGCTTTGGGAACATTTGCAAGCCCCTTCCCCCAGAGCTGCTTGCTCTGTAGAAGAGCGGAAGAGAATGCTCAGGAGTGTTTATTGGCGGAAGATCTGGCCTGTGGCCAAACCGCTCCAGCTAAGTATGGAAGGCTGGGGGATGATACCATTGTATCTTGCGAAGGCAAGATGCAAGTTGGTGCCTCCCTGCTTCCTCTTATCTGCTGGCAAGGCCAGAAAGATAAGAACAAAGGAGGTTCCTGCTGAGATCCCAGAGCCAGAAGCTGCCACCGCAAGGAGAACTGACTCAACCACCTTGGGTTTGATGTGTCACTCAAAGGAGAGCTGATTCGACCACTTTGGATCTGAGCTGTCACTCCAAAAACAGCTGACTCACACTTTGAAGTATTGAAAAAGAGCCATCATCACCATGGTCGTCGTCGTCGTTGGCAACAGGACAACAATGCCTGACGACCCACCACTACTGAGGATCAAAGACTGAACTACGAACCACGCTGGATCCACGGTGGTGACTGTGTCCCTCTTGCTTCCTATAAAGACTCCTTGCTTCTTCTTTTCTATCTTTTCTATCGCCCTCCTTCCCTTCCCCCATTACCCTAATTCTTAATAGTGTCCGTCCTCCCCTTCCCCATTTCCCTGATTAAGATTTGTAATAAACTGGTCGGACCAACATTTGAACCGTTGCTTCTTAATCTCACACCGGGTATATAGATAATAAAAGAACCTCCTCTCCCTCCTATAAATTGGAGCGAGACATTTATTTAATGGCGTAGTCGTTGCAGGATACCCGCTGTGAGAGTGTTGTCCTTCCAGATATAGTTTGAAACTTTTTTCTTCTGTGTGCACCTCCTGGAGTTGCAAGGAGCGATAGTTTTGAAAATTCAGACGTGAGTCCTTCTCCAGGAAGACCGCTCCATATTCTGAAACTTTACCTTTCGTGTGTGTACCTCTCGGGGACGTATTTTGAATACTTGCATTTTGTTTAATACGTGTGTGCCTCCTCAGGAAGACCTCTCTGGTTATTTGGTAACTGAAGTGCGAAACTTGAACCTTTTTGTGTGTGTGTGTCTGCATGCACGCGCCTCTTGGGGAAGAAAGGAAGTGATATTTTGTTACTTAAACGTGTGTGTGCCTCTCCAAGAAATTTTATTTACTCCATTGAAACCTAGAAAGTTTTGCTTTAGCGTCACATTTTTTGTGCTCCCCCAAAGAAAGGGGGGAGTGATTGGAGCATTTGCATTTGTTTAGGTGTGCTGCATCTCCCTGGGAGGAGAGATAAGGAGTCACTCGAGCTTTTGAATACGTACACCTCCCTTAGTGTAGGCCTTTCATTGTATTGAAAAAATGAGCTACAGCATTGCCAACATGAAAAGTGAAGATGTATTATTTGATCTTTTAGAAAAACATGGTGCTCGACCCTCTTTATCAGGTTTGGATTGGGCACGACAGAACTGGTATAACTTGCAGAGTGTTTCGGACCGTATTAGTATCCTGCAAAAGAATGCTCGTACTCGAGCTGGAAAAGGAAAGTCATTTATCTGTGCAGTACTAGGTTCTGCTCTGGTTGCAGCCACAGAATTCTGAGACCAGCAACTTCAGGCAGAAACCCAAACTATACAAGCACTGCAGGAATCGGTTAAAGTAACACAAGAATTGGTGAAAACTCTGCAGAATCAAATAGTGAACCTTGAGGAACAATTAGAAAGAGAGAAATGTAATTCGGCTTTGTTGCAAATTGCTTTTAAGGAACTGCTAACGTGTAAGCATGCCAGCCATACCGTCACCCACAGTTCGCCTCGAGAAAAAACTTTTCCTCAGGTGGAACTACCAGGAATGAAGGAAAAGCTAGATAAATTAGAAACTCCAATAGCCCCATTGCGTCCTTTGATAAAAACTGAATACGCATTCGGTAACAGTGAGGATCTAGATCCTCAAATGAATGTTAAAGAAATTCCCTTCTCAGTCACTGAACTGGCGAAATTGAAGAAAGATTTCAGCCGCTCTCCAAAGGAATCTGAGACAGAATATGTATGGAGGGTGAGTCTCACTGGTGGCGACCAGATTCGGTTAACAGAAAAGGAAGCAGAAGGTGTGAGAATCAAGTGTTGTTTCTGCATTAGAATTGTATAATATTATTTTTATTTTATGATCTCCACTCTCATAGTTCTTTTTGGGAGTCCCTCTACTTAACTTGGGGAAGATCTCTGATAAGTTTACATCACTTATCGTATAGACGAACCTTCCCAGGAACGCATACTCTGTATATAGGTGTATATATGTATATTTTGCCACATACACTGCAAGAATATCCTTCATGAGAACAAGCCATGGCAGCCCGAGGAAGAGCCTGAAGAAACATTGGGAAGGCCTGACATCATCCCCCAGTGCTCTTTGTTTAACGATGATGACTTTAAAGAAAATCGCCATATCAACAGGACAAGGAGAGCACCGAGACATCTTGGATGATTACTGACTGGCACCAGATAACACATAAATTAACAAGTAAATAGCAAATGTAAATTCTTCTGATAAGATTGTGAACCTGGAGTACCCAGCCAGTGGGGAAACAGGGGAGGGGGAGGCAAAGGGGAGAAAACAGGGTATAAAGGCTGTCATGTTGTGTCCATAGGCGCGCTCCTACTTGTGGGATGCCTGCCATTGCAATCGCAAATAAATTCTGCTTTTATCAGAGATACCGTCCTGACAAAATTACTGGGATTATTTCCAGCAATTTGGGGGCTCGTCCGGGATTATTATCGCCTCTTTGAGAGTTTCCCTACTGCCCTGCACAGGATAGGTGCACCCCGCTGATTTCAGCGGTCCTGTCCGGGTGCTGAGGTGACTCCTTGGTACAGCCGATAAAAAACCGAGACTGTTTCATAAAGGACGGACTCTGTAAAAGTCAAGGGGCAGGGAGGCACGGGTGTTGGCCATTGCGACCCGGTAACTTCGTGCACGGACCAAGGTAAGGGGATTTAACTCTTTCCTTGGGGTCGGTTGAGACTCTTGAGTGTGTGTGACTGAGACGCGCTGTCAGTGCGAAGCGAGCGCTGAGTCCCGACCTGCGGCTCCACTGTGCCGCGAGGGGCGACGGCCAGTAGCATTCTGGAGGGATGGGTAATAGGAGTTCTGAGAGCAGGGGAAAAAAGGTCCCCGGAATGGTGCCTAGAGAGAGCCAGCCCCTGGGAGAAGTGCTTCAAAATTGGAAAATAACCCCCAAACTAGGAAAAGAACAGGAAAAAAAAAAATAATGTTTAAATACTGTATACAGTAAAGAGGGAAAATCATTATTTTGACCAAAATAGGAGTCTGAAGAAAATTGGGCCTATCAGACTTTGTATTTATATGTAAACAGTAAGACTCCTTTTTCTGAAACAGAATTGGCTTAGGTCGCTTAATGAGTGCAAGAAGTAAAGAAATGTTCCTCGCGAGGAGTCCAAGTTCAAAGGAAATGGGAAAGAAAAGCAGAAAGATCATAAATGGATCCCTTAGATAACTTCCCCCCTTTAATTTCTAGAGCAGTGCAATTTCTAAAGCGGCGGTGACCTCTCCAGAGGAGGAGAGTGGGTGCTGCTGATCTGTGCAGGGTCCTGGAGAGAGGATGCGCTCTCAGTTACTGAGGGAGTTGGAGTCATGCGAATGGGACCTGGAGAGTTTTCCTTTCTCTAATGCTAACCTTACTAACACTTCACTTTGTCCTCTTAAGGCAGTCTTAGGTAAAAGGGAAATAGGGTATGGTAATGCCTGCTGTTTTATTACTAGAAGAGAAGTTAGGAGTTGCAAGAAGAATTCCTTAACTGAGGATCCTATAAGTGTAGCAGAACAATTAGATCAATTTCTAGGGCCTAATTTGTACTCATGGATGGAAATGATGTTTATCGTTGATATGTTGATTATTGGAGAAGGAGGTTGGCAGCTGTGCAAGTGTGGGAAATGAATACAGAGGGAAGGTTGGGCTCTGGAGGGAGGCAGAGAGAGGAAGGATCCTGAGGATAAATTGTACTGATTATTGTCACTGTGTGATTGCTAAATGTTTATGTCCTGAAAGTGTTGTGTTGTGTGATGTCGTGTATGAGGCTGTCATGGAACAAGGGGTGTCTAAAGTGATATGAGAAGACCCCTTGGGTTGTATTTTGGCTCACTGGAGAAACGTTGTTGGTGAGCCAGGGGGAATATTGAATAAGAAACCAGGAACGTAAATGGAGTAATGGGACCAGTTGTATAATTGAGTGCCCTAATCATGAGACCAAGTGCTGGGTGTTTGTGGAAGTTGAGGAATTGTGTTGTTTGATTTGTGGATTTTGAAGGCACTGGGAGAAACTGTCTTAATGGTATGTGGAAATGCAATTGTTAATGGTATGTGGAAATTATGTGGAAATGCAGTTCTTAATGGTATGTGGAAATGCAGAAATGCAATTTTAATGGTATGTGGAATTGCAGTTTTAATGGTATGTGGAATTGCAGTTTTTAATGGTATGTGGAATTGCAGTTTTAATGGTATGTGGAATTGCAGTTGT